TATATTAGATAGTGTATACTTTTAGATATACCTAGAATCGAATGAAAACCTAGGGTACAAGACATTCTAATCATGTTTTCGATAGATTAGTTCACTAATTCATTAGTCCGAGTTAAATTTTTTTCTAAATGAGTATAGATATATAGTATAAATAGTATTATATAAATATAATTTATAAAACAATATATAATATATATTATATAATTATATAAATAGTATTATATATTAGTATTAATAGTATAAATAAAATTTAATGGACCTTTATAATCTACTATTTATAGTATAAACTGGATTAAATTAAGACTAAGAACAAAAATATATTAAATATATTATTGATAATAACGAACACTGCAAAAGTATTTCAGATTTTAGTCTTGATTTTATTACTTTATAGCACCTAATAATACTGTACAACATGAATACATAAAGAACGCCATCGGATAATATGCATCAGATGTGTGCGAGTGCGCATGTCCAACCGCATTCTAAATCGACAACGCGTTCGGCGGTGACGTCACGACGCCGAAACGTCCTTACGTATCGATTACCACATTAACAACTATAAGCTACAAGCAAATAAAATACACAAAAAAAGACGGACACACGTTTTTATATGTGTAGCAGCTGCCGAATAGTTAACCTACCAGGGGTAACCAACATTTTGTTTCATTTTTCGGTTTGGACGCTTTTAAGATTGCACACCGCAGTTGGATTTTGCTTTACAATTTCACCAAGTATAATTATTCTAATGTTATGTTTTTCCGGATAAACTGTAAAGCATATACAGTTGACGATGTAATAATTATAATTATTACCTATTCAAAATGCTATTTCCTTGATGGTTTTTCGGAAGTTCTATTGTCAGTTGTGATAAAGTGATCGTTGATTAATATTAAAAATCTATACAACTAATAACAATCGGATAATTATAATTAATTTATTTTAACATAATTTTTATTTAGGTAGTCTGTTACAATAATGAGCAAGAAACTTAATAGATTATACAATAATATACGTATAAGAAAAATAGATAAAAGAAACCTTTCGTTGGAGGTAAAGAAATTACGCAGTTGAATAAGTTCGTGGTTTATAATTTAGATGAAAAGATAATGGAAAATATTGACGGTATATTCTAACAGAAAAAAAAATGTTTATAGTAAATTTGCTTGTGCATTTATTGAACAAATTTCCGGTTCTTGTCCGTACCGTAGACTTTGGACTGTAATCATTCGTTAAACGGTTTAAAAATTCAAAAGATGAAATGAGCAGTTCAGTAAATACATTTTCTATGTTTTGTGTTTTTTAGTATAGAATAAATATATAATTGTTGTGCGGTGGGGCAACGACAGTTGCGGCCGGGAGCGCTTCGCGTTAGCACGGTCCGCGTAGGAGAAACTGGTCGGCCTTGAGCACTGGCGATGCGACGGGTGTCGGCGTCGTGAACGAAGACGGCAGAAACCGGTACTGTGATCAGTGGTCGATTGGTGGGAGACATGTTATCCTATAAGAAGGGTCACTCGACGTGCGAGCATTATTATTATTGTTCATTCTGCGCTTGTGTTCTCATCGGAGCAGTCGTCGTTCGCATCCACAGCCCTTTCGGTATAAATCGTTCAGCATCACCGTTGCTGCCGGTAAGTTTGTCGCTATTATTATTATTATTTTATCGGTGCATGATGAAATTCGAGGTTAAGTAAGCTAAAATTTTTTTTATATTTTTTTAAACAATCGTATTCGACCGGTAGCATATATGGCTTTTACAGTTTTTAGACATTATCGACTTGATTATTAATACATTTAGCGCTTTAAAAGTTTTACTAAATTAAATTTTCAAAACATCGGGTCAACGTTATTCATACATGATGTTTGAGAGATAAGTAAAATTCGTTAACAAGGTTACAGTCATTCAGGATTTAACGATAATGATTTAAATATAATTTCACGTTCAACACCAATTCTAGTACCAATAGTTTATGAATACAATGTATTATATACAATGTAAAAAACAGACGTTTAAAATAGAAATAGCATTATTTTCGGCCTATTGTTACCAATTAAAAGTTTATATTTTATTTTCTGCAACAGTCAATTATTCAATTGTTTAGTAATTGAGAATGTAGTTTAATAGCTTAACTTTTACTTTTAAAACACACTATACATATTATTTTTATTTTGTTAAAAGGTTAAATTACAATATTAAAAAAATAATTGGCATATATATAATAACTACTATTAGATAGTGTAATATAAAAACACAATATATTATAGTTTAAGGTATAACATTTTTTCAACTACTTACAAAATATTTCATTATTTTAAATTTTCCTAATTTTTAGCTGATTATTAGATCTCTAGAAATAACAGACATAAGTATTTATGGAATTCTTACATTTCTCACCACAATAATATCTAATTTTAAATTATTATTATACCGTATGAAGACTAGAATATAATATTAATTAATATTTTGTATTTTATTGATATTTATTAGTATACGAATCCTTCTATTATTTATTGAAATATTAAATTATCCCTAATGAGTAATGATTAATAGTTAAGATCAAGTGTACAGTAACTTTAACGTACGTCCGTATTAGTCACCAATTCTTATGAATTTATAAATTACAATTTTTATTTACAACATTTCAAACATACTTCTGTTGTACATGTATACTATTTGTATGATAAAACAAAGATTATAGGAAAATATATTATTATTCATATAATATGTGGTCCTAGTAGTTAATAATTGATAATTATTAGGGTTTTAAAATGTCATGAAATTTATTTTCTTGAAATATTTCATGAAAAATTTTGTTTCAATGAAAAATAAAATAAAAAATTTTTATCTAAAATTTTAGTTTCATTAACATGCAAGTGAACCTTTTTATAATATGTTTTATTATATAAAATATAGAAAATATGTACTTAATAGTGGTTCGACCTCTTGTAATTCCACCAATAGATTATTATTCATAACTTAATTTAAATTATTTTTTATAAATTCAATTATGAGCTGTGCATTTTCATAATTTTAATTTTAATTTTAATCCCTTGCTAAAAACATAGACATTTTGGTGTACAGCAACAAACAGAACTATAAAAATTGAATATTAATCGTTTGTTATTGCTCTCATCTTTCATCTTATTATCCACAGTAATTTTATTTTTCAGTAATTAAACTATTTAGTATTTATGGTAATAAATTATAAAAATACTATTTAAAATTAAAAAATTCATAAAAAAATATATATTATACCAAAGATAACATCCATTGATTTTCGTACCATAGATATTTTTAAAGTTTTTTAATATTTTTACCGTTGATCATACTATGGTTGTAATTTTCTAGTAATAAAGATTTTATTATCGTTTTAATTGAAATTTCGAATCGTCAACTATTAGAGGCTAATTGGCGACTACTGGTACTAAATGACCAAAGTTATTATCAATTAATTTAAATCACGTTTAAGATGGTTAATTATTATGGCTGCTTAGTTTCTCAGTGGTCCAAATAATGGGATAGTGTGAGATAAATTCGAATTCCATTATTATTTATACACAGAAATCATAAACATGTTTTCACAAATTGATTTCTGGAGAAAATTAATTCTTATAACTCTTATGACTCTCTTTTTTTGTTTTTTATAATCGTATACTATACAGTTTAGTTTGTTTAATTTAGTCCTTTAAAGTTTTTTGGATCTAGCGTGGCATTGAAATTTTTAAATTTAGTAGTTAAACAATTTATCAAACCAATATCTAGACAAAGCATCGTCAATCGTCATAGTAAAATAAAAAAAATTAAAATTTTATAGTAATAATAAAATGATTTCAAAATACTAATATGAAATGTTTTTTTTTTTTTTTTATCTTAGCCGTCAAAATGTCAGATGACTCAAAGGAACCGGAAATTTTATACTGTAAGTGGTGTATAAATAAATATATAAACGCTGCGGAACTCTTGATTCATGTACTTGAAAATCATTGGGTAGACAAAAGCAAGTGTTTTGATTGCACTAGACCATACAGTGATGGGTTAATAAATTTAGTGCGCCATTGGATACAAGAACACATGGATAGTTATCTCGAGAAACCCAAGGTATATGTTTGCCCCACTTGTGGGGAATTGTTTAATAAAAGTGTATTATTGCACCGACACAAATACAATAATCATCACTTTATGATGTTTAATAAAAAAAAAATATAATTTTTTTTTTTCTAATTTAAATGGATTTCTCCATTCAGTATGAAATAAATAAATCATTTATACATTTATAAATCAAATTGTGTTTTTATTTATAATAACTAAATGTGCATTTTATAAAATTATTATTATGATTATTACATTCTTAATCATGATTAATTATAATCATATTACTTATTTTACTTAATTATAGTGTTGTAGTACGCCTCGCGTTACTTTCGCTCCGCGAGATAGACGTACTCGCACGGATTTAAATTATTTAACGACGTCCACCGAGTTACGGAATGACAGCACTGCTCTTTTTTGATGAAATGGGTTTGTTGAATGTTAACTCAAATTAAAGACACACTTGCTTAAGTTGAGTTACTAGAAATGTATTATTAACACGAAACCATTGTTGTTCACAAAAGTAATTATTTAAAGGTTTGAGGACAGAGTCTAATCGACTCCACCAGAGATATTAGTAATACTGATAAATGGTTAATCGAATTGAGAGGTACGTAAAGACGTTACTGACGCTCGACTTTGGTAAGTCCGATCCTGACTACATTTAGACTTATTCCACTTAAGGCGCTCTAATACCCTCCTATTTATGCTATTTGGATACGTGCTTATGTCAAGGAAAAAGAAACTAACAGGATGTCCCGAATCACGTATACATAGTTCTGAGAATTACGCATCCGTGATTCTAAAATATGTTTTTTAACCTTTTGTATTAAGATCATTACACGTACGTATTGTTTGTCTCACATACAAATTTTACTAGTTTTCTCAATTATAACACACCTACGTGTTAGGGCTTACTACAGTGTGAAGTTGAATAGTTACCTAATTTATAACTTACTAATGTATAACTACTATTTCTCATTAATAAATAATCATTTACTGCTTTTCTTAAACCTATTTTGTTAGAAACTTATAAATTAAGAGTTATAAACATCAAATAACTCAAACTTTGCGTTCAACGCCAATAAATGTCTATGTAGTCGACGAACTCTTATGGAAAGTTCGTTTTCACTTCGAAACGTTTCATACGCCACGACAGCTAAGTATCAGTTATGGCAGCTACGACGGCTTACAAGTGAATACTTACATTGAATTACTGATATGTATAAATGTATACATAAGTTACTGAAACCGTGCACTTTGTAGCCCGTAGATAGCTTATGTTTCTTATTTTTACCCATACGAACCAGTTATCTGATTTGCTGGGATTGATAATTACTGCTATCTTGCTTGTATCTTCTTGTATCAGCAGTATGCCTGCACTATGTTGGGCCACAGATGCATATAATATACTATGTGACTCACGGCATGTGCCGGTGTTAATTTGTATGAAGTTGATCATTTCGGAAGTTCCGAAGATCGCCCTGGTCTGTTTAAGAGGATGCTATACCAAAAGCAAAACGTATGCAACGGCCAAGAGAATGCGCTATGAAGTGTTTTTGCGATCCGCAAGCACGCGACGTTTGGGCCACGCCCAGTACTCGTAGTCGGCGGCCGGTCGACGATTGTACTCGTTCGGGAGCGGTGTTCATTATTTTCTGAACATTCGCATGTAACGGGTCGCGTAAATATAAAATGCATATATAATACGTAAGTGCTGCTGTAATATTTTCAATATTCGCGCGTAACTACGCGATTTATATTTATTGCGTTATTAGGTATACAACCTACGTATTACTCTCAGTATTTCATAAAAAGTATAAATTAACTGTATTATTATAATAGTATATAATATCTCATAATAATGTACAACTATAACCTAAATATCAAAATATTAGTTTTCTAATAGATAAATGCATAGCATATATTTTACGTTATAGTTTTGTATATGTACCTACCACATATACTTCTTATATAATAGTTTTTGTGCATTTTTTAACATGATGCAGTTGTTAAAGTACTAATAAAGTTGTATAATGAGTTGGTTATGGGTGGATAAGTAATTTTGGAGTGGAATAACACGTTTATATCTATCTTTAGAATAAATTAAATTTTTTCTTTTGTTTGAATTAATACTATTTTTTATTATCTCCGATTCTCTTATATCTGCCTTGAGCATACGTTTAGGGTATAATGGATTGACAATCTCTGGGAGCAAACATTCGTTATAAAATCTAAAATAAAGAAATAATTCAGTACAACAAATAATTATGGATTAAAAATTAAAATATATTTAATAATGCAACATACATTTTTAATTTGTTGACCATTTTATTTTCCCAAAATGAACTGTCATATTTAATTATTTCAATATGTATCCAGTTTGAAGTGTATACTACAAAGTAGCACATATCTCTTCGAGATATGTACAATTGTCCCATTATTTGAAAATAATATTCATGGTCTAATTTTAATTTAACAGATCCATCGATTATTTTACAATATTGTAGCTGTAAATTTAAAACAAACTACAATTATTTAAATACAATTGGATTTTTTTAGGTTTATAAATATAATATTAATGTTTATAGCTAAGTACCTATTTAATTATTAAATAGTTATACAACATAATAATATACTTACAAGTTTATTTGTCACGGCATCAATTGCATTTAAAGTATTCTTGGCAGAAAAGGGACATTTAATTTCAACAATGGTGTTATCTTCTATCAGACCATCTAAACATTGATTGCAAACATAAATATATTTCCTTATATAAATATCTAATACCATTATACACATATACATATAAGCTTACCTGACAGCTTTTTCGATATGAATTAATTGTAATAATTCTAAATTGCAAAATATTAGTTACCTGGACTCGCTGCTAAATATGGAATTATTGGATTTATCAATAAACCGCATGTTTTTATTTTTTTTATTAATATTTTTTTCTATTTCTGTACGAGCAATAGCCTCCATGTCTCGACCATATTGTAAAGACTTCGCCTGCACTTCACATGCATATAACAAATCATATACCAAATTCTTACAACTGGTAGTACATCTCATTTTACATATTCGACCAAAACGAGAAGTAGTAAGTCGAATCCTACGCTCTTTAAAGCAAGTTTGATTATTGCTCTGTTCCCGCGTAACAAATCAACGACCAAAGGTTCCGCAAACCCATAATCTCCATCAGATCCATTAACTGAATAATGTATATGATTTCTACATTCTGGAAATAGTCGTCGTCTTTTCGTGGTGTTAGAAAGTTTTCGACTGTGATTATTTAAATATGATTTCCCAAATTTCACCGTACAACATTTTTTAAATTAAACCTATAAAATATTTTTTATTAATTTAATATTATTTTTAATATATTATCTGGACTATGGTCGTTAGTCATCTTTTAGTGAATTTTTCGTAAGAATTCTTTTGTATTAAATGCTACAACTGCTGCTTTAATTCGAGTGTTATAGTTTCCTCGACTAGAAAAGTTTATTCGTTTACCACCTATATGTTTATTTATTATAGAGTTAAATTGTTCACAAATATTATTTGTTTTGTTTTCTAGTAAATTGGAAACTTGACAAACTAGCATATCATTAGAAGTCAAATCTTCTGTTTCTGTACTAAAATTATTTTCAATAATTTCAGTTTTTTCAGTATCTGTATACGTCGTTTGTTTTCTAAAAAAAATTAAATATACCTAATAATTTTATTGCCATTTATAAAAAAAAAACTACAGTGTAAAATTGTATAGCTATTTTAAATATAGAAAAAAACTTGAATTAAAATAACGGTATATTCTAAAATGATTTAAAATATTTGTTGTTATTCAAAAAGTATAACTCGTAGAAAATTGAAACTTTCACTAGTAATTGAAATATTTAATAAGTTTAGTAAATTATGTTTTAAAAACACGTGAAATAATTAGATACTTACACTACATTCAGTTTTTCCTCTTTTTGTGTTTTTTTCATACGTAACCGCTGAGATAGTTTACTTACCTGGGCTCTTTGTTTCTTTGGTGTCATTATATTTTTCAACACCACAAAAAAAAAATAAAAAAATTGACTGACAGATATAACGCGCGTATACGATTAAAAAAAATGTCTCTGTTACTAAACAAACAAGTATAGATATTATTAGTTCAGTTAACTTATACGAAGTGAACAATTGGTGTTAAATATAAGAATAAACAATTATTGTACATGGGCTAAATTTAATATAGGCACAGACATAATATTGTAGAGTTTATAAATATCTAAAATATCAAGCCACTTCCAAGAACTGAGTAATTTATTAAACTTTCATTTGTCTTTTATAAACTTTTTATTGTAGAAATATGGAATTCATGAACAAATAATACATATCGCTGTAATGATAACTAACTCTTTTATTCCAAAATAAAAAACTAAATATTACTGACATATTATCTTATTCAGTAACATTTTATGCATCATACAAAACGTAAAATAAAATAAATAATATGGGTATAGCCGTAAGCCTGTAACGATCAACTAGCGAATCATATATTTCATATCTAAAACTTCCATGTAAATTATTTTATAATTTTGTTCATCATAATAAAAATTACTTTTATTATAAAATAAAATTAATTACACACAATATATTTTTAATTTTTAAAATTTCTAAGTATATGCCATACTTCCGTGTAGCCAACATATTTTTAACATATTTACAATATATGTAGGTACATATTATTACAAGCTTTGCAAGCTCATGTGCTGCCGATTTGGCTTTAATTAAAATATTAACAAGACTTGGCAGTGGCGTGCTTAGCTTTTTTGAAAGGGGGGAAGATATTCGTTTTTGACTTGTCACAGACCCTACATATTTTTTTATGTAGATAATGTACCATAATAAAAAAATCCAAAGGAGATATATAACACCAGGGACGTATTCAGCTCTTCTTCCAGGGGGGGGGGGCGAAATTTGAACTCAAATCATGGGTTATTATAAAAAAATTTGTACATAAACGATAGTGTACAGATTATTAATAAATTGGCGGATCAAAATTGTTCGATCGTTTCGCTTGCTTAAACTTCAATAATTGATTTCTACCCACTTCCATAACCCATAACATTAATTATTGTAAACAACATCAACAGTATACCAAATAAAATAACTTGACATAGGACATAGGTACATATAAATATAAAAGCATATTATAATAACCACATAATATAATAATAGTTTTATTAAATATATAATAATTAATAATAAAATAATATTAAATAACAAAATCCAATTTCCTTTTTGTCTTTGAAAATCGTTCAATAACTTTTGATGTGTCAATATCAATATTTCTATGTATGTTCATTAAAGCCAAACCTGTCAACCTTTTCTGGGACATTTGGCTTCTCAGCCATGTTTTTAACCTGGTGTAACATATTTCAGAAAGCATTAAGCAATAAGCAAACAGCCAAAAGCCAAAGGAGTTATGATTAATGCAAAGCAAAAAAGGAGGACAAATTTATAAAAATAATCACAGAATTAAATAAATAAATCAATTAAATATCTAAATCAGACTATCTAAGTAAAGTAATACTAAATAGCGGAAATTAAATAAATATGATAGCATTTTTAACTATAGTTAAGTTATGTCATAAATAATAACTAGTAGTAAAAAAAATCTAAACTGATTTTGCTCATACTATATGTATATATTTTGTGCTCTTTATAGTGCATAAATGCATGCATATTTAGTATATTTTAAACCACATAAGTTCTAAGCCCTGCTTTTTACCAAAATTATTTTCTTCTAACTTAAAGAAAAGCAAAATATACATGCATACCTCCTTAAAGTAGAGAAGCTGCGTTCTGCTGATGCGATACTTACTGGTAATGTTGCTAATACTACTAAAACCTGTCTAATTGTAGGAAACATGACTGGATGACATTCATCAATAGATTCTAATACATCTTTTGGTATTTTAAGACCTTAAAATAATTTAAAATAAAAAATATGTAATTTTTACCAATCAATATGCAAATTGTATTTAATAAATTAGTATTTACCTTCATTTTTCCTGGAAATCCAATTTGATTTCCATAAATCAATTTCTCCTTTTAAAATGTTAATGTTTATATCCAAAAATATAAAATGTTCAATTACTGTATCAATCATTTTTTTGACATCGAGTGAAGACTTGTTGATTATGTTAGCTGGAATAAATTCAATCAACTGAAAAATAGCTGTTGTTTTTTTATTTAGGAATCTTGATCTCAAGTCTTCTAAAATATTGTCAATTAGGGGAATGTACACAACTCTCCGGTAATATGCCTCTGGTGTATTTTCAGGAGTATTGGCCCTTTTATTTTGAATTTTAGTTAATCTTGGTAACTTGACTTCAATGTCTAAGTCAATCATTTTAGTTTTAGCTTCAAGAAATATTTCACTAAAATATTTTTCAGCATTTAATCTTTTATCTTCTAAATTTTGTACTATACTGGTAATACAGCTGGAAGCAGCACTTACATCTAAATTAACTCCTTGTAACATTTTACTGGCTGGTAGTGTAATACTGAGGATATTTGATAATATATACAATGTTATAATAAATTCACAATTGCACAAACTCAGGAGTAATGAGTTAGCTTTAGATGATGATACTTGATCTGTCCATTGAGATATATGTGTTAGACTTTCTATAATTTCTGACATGTTGATTTCAAAGTCTATTATACTAGTGTGACATTCTACCCAACGTGTAACACACAAACTGGTTAATGATATCTTAGAACTTTTGGTACTTTTAAGGTTATTTTTCAAGATGAAATTCCTTTTGGAAGATAAATGAAAAAATGAAATGGTTTCTTGGAGAATTCCCATAGTATTTCTAACGATTTGGACTTTCGAAGATTTAGAAATTGTTAAGTTTAGAGCATGATTAGTGCAAGAGCTGTATATAGCATTTGGACAGCTTTTCTGGACTTCTTGCACAGCTCCTCTTAACACTGATGTCATTACAGAACAACCATCCGTGCCAATTCCTATACAGTTTTTAAGGTTAAGTGACATTTCTTTTAACTCTGATACTACTATATATCCAAGTACATTTCCTGAAAAAATCAAGGTAAATTAGATTTTTAATTAAAATAATACAATTAAATAAATAATGTATTCACCTGTTAGCTTTGGTTCTTTAGATAAATGGTCATCAATCAATGTATCTGACAAATCATAATTTGGAATGGCAGTCTGGTTTTTATTAAATGTATCATGGCAATTGATAAAACCAACGAAACGTTCATAAATGTTATTTTTCTTATCAATGTACCTTAAAGTTAAACTCATTTGTGATATATGAGACACATCGGTCGTTTCATCAAAGATAATACTGTAAAATTGATTTGTATTTACTTCATCTAATATAAATGACAGTATTTCTTCCTTACAACATTTAAT